CCTCTCTCTCTCTCTCTCTCTCTCAAGTGTATAAGCAAGATGGCAAGATGGCTTAACATGCAAAGGCACTTGCTGCCAGGTTCGAGCCCCAGGACCCACACGGTGGAAGAAGAGACCTGATTCCAGCGAGTTGTCCTGACCTCCTATGTACGCTCACAAATAAATATAAATATAGGTGGACCGAGTTTCTGCTCAGCCTTGCCAATACTCGTGATTTCTAGCTCTCGCTCTTGCTCTCTTTCTTCTTTTTAAATTTTTAATTTCTATTTCAGGGCTTTGGCAGAGCCCACTTGAGGTTTACTGGTAAAACGTGGAGACATTTATTTGGTATAAGACTGTTGGCCTTTCGCTGAGGTAGACTCTCAGCTACGTTCTACCTTAACCCGACTTCCTGCCATTTCATCTCCACCACGTTGGGGGGACGCCTGCTTCCTTCCCAACATGCTTCTGCCACCCCTTGCCTGCTCACCCTGTTCTCGACTTCGAGCCTCTCCTTCCTGCCTCTCATTCTGCCCCAGCTCAATGCCAGCTCTTTATTCTCTAAAAAGCCACACTCCAGTCTAAACCAATCAGCAGCTGAACCGCGTGGATCCATTTCACCAATCAGCAGCGGAACCGCGTGGATCCGTTTCTTTGGGCTGCCCTTTGACTAGGATTAGGGCTATCTGACTGCCATCCAGACGGCTTGCTTTTTAAAAAAGCTGGGAATGAGCCTTTGAGAGGACAATACCAAACATTCTGCCAGCACTTAGCTCTCTGCCAGCACAACAATGAACAATTAAAAAACACAGGGACACACCTACAAGCCATTTGATACAAAGGGGGGGCATCCCAACAGAGTGCTCTTTCTCCTCCCTCCCTCCCTCCCTCCCTCCCTCCCTCCCTCCCTCCCTCCCTCCCTCCTCTTTCTTGAGATAGGGTTTCATTGTGAAGCCCTGGGCTGTCCTAGAACTCACTACGTAGGCTAGGCTGGTCTCAAACTCACAGTGATCCACCTGCCCCTGCCTCCCAATTGCTGGAGTTAAAGGCATGCACCACCACTGCCTGGAGTTTTGGTTGCTTTTTAAGACTGGGTCTCACATAGCCCAGGCTGGCCTTGAACCATTGTTCTGCTTGTCTTTTCTTCCAAGGTATTTCATCCTCTTGGACTATAGGAGGGTTTCTAGTGCTTAGATAAAAGCCAGCATTTATCAGGAACTTGTGAAACAGGTTTTCTGTCCACAAAAAGGAGTCACTTCCCTTACCTGTGGCAGAAGGGATGGATATATATGGCTCTCCATTGACATACCTGTGACAGATATTATAAGCTGTGTTATCAAAGGTGTATATGCTAGCTTCCAGGCTCCTGCAGTCCCTATTCACAAGCACCCATTATGTATTTCGAAGCCCTCACTATCCTGGCCCCTCCCTCTTCCCCTCCTACCCAGAACTCCCAGGCCCGCTCCACTTGCTCCCAGGACCTCTTCGTCCTTATTCCCACACTCCTCTTTCTGTCTCTCCATTCTCTCTCCCTTGCAGATAGCCCTGGCCTTATCCAGTTTAGGGGTTTTTGTTTTTTTTAATTCTCTGCTCTGGACTCTTTTTCTTTTTTGTTGTTGTTTTTTTGAGACAGGGTTTCTCTGTATAGTCCTGGCTGTCCTGGAACTCACTCTGTAGACCAGGCTGGCCTTGAACTCAGAAATCCACTTGTCTCTGCCTCCCAAGTGCTGGGATTAAAGGCGTGCACCACCACTGCCCGGCTTCTGCTCTGGATTCTTACAAATGCCTCTGGTTTTCTTACTCACCCACAACAAAACCCTTCCCCCACGGGAGTAGCCATTGTGACAGGCTCTTTACTGAGCACCTATGCATACAACTCTCAATACGATTGTCTTTTTGCTGTGGTGAGAATTGTTTATGTTTTGAATTTTCAACCCTTCTTGAGGCTGCCCTCCTTTCTGTGGGTTGTCCTCCCTTCTGTCCTCCCTTCAGAATAACAACATTCTTGAAACACAGAAGTTTTTCATTTTCCTGGCATCCTAGTCAGTTATTTTGATGCTTTAAGCATCCATCGAGAGCCAGGTGGTGTTGACTACACACCTTTAATCCCAGCACTTAGGAGGCAGAGGTGGGCCCTAAGGCCTGCTGGTCTACAGAGTGAGTTCCAAAACAGACAAGGCTACAAGGAGAAACCCTGCCTCAAAAGAACAAAAAACAAACAACAAGCAATGAATTCATTGAGAAAACAGCACTGAAGAGGTTTACCTGTCTGTTTTCTTGTATTTACTCTAATAGTTTGAGATCTATGGCAGTGGCCCACTTTGAGTTAACTCTTCATACATACAGTGGGGTAGGTCTGACCTCATTGTTTGGCATGTTGTTTTACAGTGTCTCACTGTTACAGAGACCATTCATGTTCTCTTGGATAGCATTAGCACCTCTGTTGACAATCACTTGACTGTAGATGGATGGGTGATGGTCACATGACACAGAAGTGATCACAGCCCGTTTGGGCTTCAGTTTCTTTACCTGAAAGTTGAGTGCTGCAGAGGCGGAAAAAAAAAAAAAGGTTCAGAACATGTTAAACAGATTGAGGCAGAGGGGGTGTGTGTGTGTGTGTGTGTGTGATTTTCCCCCTTCCTCTTCCTCACCACTAAAACCTCAGCTTGTAGAGATTGCCTTCCTCTAGAGGCAGAGCACCTTGGAAGGCCAGCTTCAATATGTACTGCTCTTGGCCTCGGCTCCCTAGAATGAAGGCATAGCTGGTAGTATAAAGTTGGGGTGAGCCAAAAGTCTCAGTGGAGAAAGGTGTTTGCTGCTAAGCCTGATGACCTGAGTTTGATCCATGAGACCCACATAGGAAAATGGTAACCAAACTGTGCTATGGTGCATGTGTGTACCCCTGCTCTCCCCACCGAAGAAACTGAACCCTCCAAAGCCAAAATAAATAAGTAGAAAAAGATGTTTTAAAGTGTACAGTTGAATCACTGTGAAGACATTGCAACCCTCCACCCCACTTTTTCAGGATCTTTTGTGGTTGTTGTTTGAGACCGTCTTTCTATGTTGTCCTGGCTGTCTTGGATTTTGCTATATACCAGGCTGGTCTGGAACTCACAGAGCTCTGCCTCCTGAGTGCTGGTATTAAAGGCATGCATCACCATACCCTTGTCATGGCAGATGACCATGACTGCACCAGGCACCATCTTACTTAACCATCTTTCTTTGAGATGAAGCTTCATATGTCCCAAGCCGACCTCAAACACACTATGTAGTCAAGGATGACACTCAACTTGTGATCCTCCTGCCTCTACTTTTGGACAGGTGGTACCGGTATGGAACTCGGGGCCTTGTACATGCAAGGCAAGCGTTCTACTCCAACTGAAGTGAACCCCTTTCATTTTGTGTTGGAGGAATGAAAGCCCAGGGTTAAGAAGTGACTTGTCCCTGAACTGCCAGCATGGGCAAAGAGGCGTTGTGGGGAAGTGCGTCTTACAGCTTTTCTACCCTCGCCACTCAGTGTGCATGTTCTCAAAAACACGAGTGTGGGAATGGTATTCATGGAATGGCTGCTGCTGTGTTTGCTGGTGGAGCCCCTGTTTGTTTTCAGAACTCTTTTCCCGTAGGAAAGACCCAAGGTCTCTGTTACACATTTTCAACAAAAATATTCTGTTCGTCTGCTTAGAGATATTCTGAGCATAGTTGTTTAATTATAGGTTTGGCCTATTTTCCATTTATGGGCCTGACAAATATATTTAAAATTTTCAGCCTATAATAATATTTACTAGCAGGCTTTAATTTTAAGTTTAGCCCATGGAAGCTATTTTTCCTTTTCCATTATATATTATTTATTTATTTTTGAGATAATAGTCTCACATCATAGCTGACTGGCCTGAACTTTTCAAACTTCTGTCTCAATCTCTTGATTGCCGGGATCAGTAAAATGGGAATAAGAAAACATAGTTGTGGGCTGGCAAGATAGTTTTAGTGGTTAAAGATGCTATCCTCCCAGCCTGACAGCCTGGTTTAATTTCCAGAACTCACATGGTCACAGGAGAGAACTGATTCCTTTGAGTTGTCCTCTGACCTCCACAATCACTGTGACACACATGAACAAACACAAAGATAAATGAAAGTAAAACAATTTTTAAAATGAAAACTTTGGGGAAAAAAGTTACTGGGTTTGTATGAGCACTGGAAGTAATATAGGGACCTGGTTTACTCCCTCCCTCCCCCAGCCCTCTCCCTCCTCCCCCTCACCCTCTGTCTGTCTTTCCTTGTGTGTATGCATGTGCTTGCGTATGTGATAGAGAAAAACAGAAATCAGTTCTCCTTCCACCATGTGAGTCCTGGGATCAAGGTTTCCAGGCTTGGCAGCAAGTTCCTGGTGCCCACAGAAGACAGAAGAGGGCATCATACAGAGTCAGAGCTAGAGACTGTTCTGAGCCAGTGGGTGCTGGGAATCAAGAACATGTTGCAGAGTGACCGTTATCAGGTTCAACAGATCACATGACTCCATTTGTATGAGATAGTCAATCTCTGCAGACACAAAAGAGACTCAGGACCAGTGGTGAGCACATGATGAGTGACTGTTTAAGGTGTACATAGTGTCTGTGTGGGAATAGAAATGAATTAAATGAATACTAACATTGTTAATGTAAAAAAATGGTTTAATTACTTAATATTTAATTAGTCAATAAGCTAACTGTCTTACACTGACTGTTGCTGCAGTGAAATGCCATGACCAAAGCCACTTGAGGAGGAAAGGGTTTATTTGGTTTACATTTCCACAGGGCATCACTGAAGGAAGTCGGGACAGGGACTAGGAACTATGCAGTCTTCAGAGGAATGCTCCCAGTAACTGCTGCCTCCACATAGGCCCCATTTTTTGAGTCAGGGTCTCATGAAGTCCATGCTGGCTTCCAGTTTGCTAGGCAGCCAGGGATCACCTTGAGTGTCAGATCCTTCTGCCTCTATGTCTCACTTGCTGGGGTTACATGACTGTGACATGATGCCAGTTTATTTGGTGCTAGAGATAGAGCCTAGGATGTTTGTGCATACTAAGCAGTCACTCTATCAACTCCGAGACATCCCCAGCTCTGGGATGGGCACTGTGTAACATCCTATCTCACCCAGGATGTGTAATTAACATATGAAGTGGAGAATGATCTTGTCCTATTTACTTCTCCCTTTGTTATGGTGGTGGCAGGAATGGAACCCAGGGATTCATGCAAGCTAGACAAGTGCTCTACCGCTGAGCAATACCCTCTGCTCTTTCTGTTTAACATAAAGGATAGAGAAGGTCACAAAGTTCAGAGCAAGAACTGTGAACGGAGGCCTGATGGTTGCCAGGCACCCAATCTTACCTGAATGGATTCCTCAGTGAAATAGTGTAATATTGACAAAGATGAGAAGACAAAAGCTTGTATGGAATTTGGACTTTTCATTTGGCATGTCAAGTCCCTTGTAGAAGCTGGCTGTCACTGCTGCCTCCTCGAGTGGTCTTGTCCATGGTGGGCTATGGAAAGTTATCAAGTATCACACAACTGCAAACTATAACCTGTCCTGCCTCCAGCTTACACTCCCCTGGCGTTGATTCTCATGTGCCTCTGAGTCTCTGTTCTAACCTCAGTTTCCCTACTTCTTCCAGGACCAACAGAGAACAAATGTCAAGAACAGCTGTGCAGGTGTGACGAGGAGCTTGCTTACTGCCTGGCTGGGACGGAGTACCACCTGAGATACCTCTTCTTCCCCTCCTTTTTATGTGAGAAGGACTCACCCAAGTGTGACTGATAGGCTCAAATGTCCCTTTGCACGTGGGAATGAAGTTCCCATTCAGTAATGAAGACAGCATTCAGTTTGTGCCCGGAGCCCTGGAGGCCAAAGCGATAAAGCCTGTGTTTGCTTTCTCCCTCCGTTCAGGAACTCACACTATGAGCCTGTGGAGCTGCTAGTTTGATGAAGGTTGAAAGGCCTGGGCCTGCTTTATACAAATACCACTGTGTTGGGCCTGATGTAATTTTCGAAGTTCAACCTTTATGAAAAGCTGTGCTATCTCCTAACCTGCTGCAGGTGGAACTGTAGATGAACACCTGCTTTGGCTTGGCTGTGGCAATAACATTGCCACGTGATACATCTAAGACTTGTTACTGTAATAAAAAATGTTCTCTCCCTGTCTCCATCTGTAAGAGGTTATTTCCTGGAAATAACTGGGTGTGGTGGCATGCACCTGGAGGGCTCTGCTGGGGAGGCTGAGGTTGAAAGGTCAGCTGACCCCAGGAGTCTGGCACCAGTATGGGCAGAACACAAGATACTTTCCAAAAGAAAAAGGAAATGCTTTCCTGGGTTGGTGGTACTGCTGTGTGTCAAAACATTTGTGAAGCATGTTTAAGGTCCTGAGTTTGATTCCCAACATTTCAAGAAAAGAAACTTAAAAATTAAAAAAAAAAAAAGAAAAGAAAATGTAGAACAACATAGCTGAACACTGAAAAGTGAAATCACAGGCCAGAAAAATGGCTCCGTGGTTAACAGTGCTTCCTGCTCCTCCAGGGGACTTGAGTTCAGTTTCTGGCCTGCATACTGTTTAGCTCAACTGCTTTTGCTCTGGTTCCAGAGAATCTGACACATCTGGATTCTACCAGTACCTGCCTGCACATGCTCACTTGCACAAGTACACGTACACACACACACACACACACACACACACACACACACACACGCATGCACGCACACGCATGAGCTTGCCACAAAATAGTCTTTTTAAAGAGAAATCATTCCAAAGCGTTAGAATGGAAGAAGGAAGCTTTTGCTCTTGGCTTGCTTGCCCTCATTCTAGATGGCAAGTCCATTCTGTCACTGGCATTAGAACCTGCATCTTTGGGAATTCCAGCGTGCACTGAAGACTAGCTGAGACATCCAGCCTCATAAACTGAGCAACTACTGAATTCTTGGACCTTCCATACATAGGCAGTCATTGTCTGATTAGCTGGATCACATTCTACTAAAATCCCCTTTCTATATATGGAGAGAACTCTGTTACTCAAGAAAACCCTGACTAATACAGATTTTGGTACCAGAAGTGGTTCTAGAACAACAAAAGTATAAGGATGAATCTTTTTTAAGTATTTGGATTACACTTCAATTCACCATCACTGACAGCTACTGAAGCCATTGCATTTACTGAAGCCCATGGTGTAAGACTCTGGTGAGTGCTGGGCGGTGGTGGCACATGTCTTTAATCCCAGCACTTGGGAGGCAGAAGCAGGTAGATTTCTGAGTTCGAGGCCAGCCTGGTCTACAGAGAGTTCCAGGACAGCCAGGGCTACACAGAGAAACCCTGTCTCGAAAAAACAAAACAAAACAAAACAAAACAAAACAAAACAAAACAAAAAGATTCTGGTGAGCCTTAGCTTACCGGAACCGCCTGGGTGAACCACACAGAGCCAAGAATTGATGCAAAAAGCAAGAGAAATGTATTGTTCCAACATGTTGGGGTCGTCCTGCACCCAAAGGAGAGGTGATGACTCCATGCAGCTTGTTCAGTGAGCCTTTATACAGTTTTTAGAGAAACAGCGACTAGAAACAATATGATTGGCAGAACAGTGTGACTTTTAAACTGATTGGTCTTTAGGGAATGAGATGGCAAAGACTTCCCTTGTCTGTGGGTGGTCAATGGTCCATCTTGTGGAATGTGTTCACATGCTCTGGGCCTCTGTGCTCTGAGGAATGGAGGGGAGGGAGCAGCCTAAGTGTTCTATAACCTCTCTCGTCCAGGAGGGGAGGGATCTGGTGGAATTTTCCAAAGTTCCTGAGCTGACCTCTTCTTTCCCCCTTTTCTTTGTGAATGCTTCAATCTTGAAGCTATTAGATAGTTATGCAGCTCATATCTCTGGTCCTCTGTACCTAGCTCTTGATAGCTTTGTCTCAGGACCATCAACGGTACTGCATCTATGCAATCTTTAATAAAAGCAACTAAGTGATTCAAAATGTAAAGGCCAAAAATCAGAGGCAGGAACAAAATTATCAGGGGTTTTAACAATGTAGAAATCAAGGTAGTAAACCAAGGAGAGTTAGTTGTTAAACTAAGACTCAAACCATCTTTGGGGTCTCTGTCTCTCTCTCTCTGCCTCTCTCTCTCTCTTGGCTAGTCTCTCCCGTACCTTTGCCATTGAATCTTTAACTATCTTCTTGAATGGTCTCCAGTATGTGCTTCTCAATTTCCCACACCCTTAGGTAGCAAAGAAAAAGTAGCTGCCCCTCCACACACATACACTGATGGGCCTGCTGCTGGGCTTCTCTCATATCGGGGACACACATATATGTGTGTTTCTTGCAGGACACTTCCCAACTTTGGGTGTCTGAACTCTAAGCTCCACTCTAACGCTGCTTCTGGGACACAGTTTAGATTTAAAAGTCCCTCATGCCCAACATTTGAGTAATCCCCACCCCTGTGTCTCTAGGGTGGGGATATCCCAAGAGTCAAGGCCTGCTGCTAACTTACAGAGATCAAAGACAAGGTCTGGCCACCAGGCACAAGGTGGGTGTTCCATTGTAGTAAACCAAGCCACATTCCCAATGGCTGAGAGTACTTGCCAAGTCACTTTGGTAGGGTTGTGGGGGCTGTTAAGGAAGACACAACATAACTATCTAACGGTTTTTCTGGCCTTGCAGAAGGGCAGGTGATCTTGAGCTTGAGGGGGTTGCTCAGGTGCTGCTCTCCAGTTGACATCAGGTGCAGGTGCTGGTCTGACATGAGTTACGTGAACCCAGGCAGTTACTCCATCCACCTTAATGGAGGTCAGGTGGTCAATAACACCAGGACTGGCCCTTTCCACTTTGCTTACTCATGTGGAACCTCTGGGGCACCTGCGTTATACAAGGCACTAAGTGTAGGCCACAATTCCTGGTGACTGATCTGGAAAGTTTGCAATCGAGCCATAAGATCCTTGTCAGCCTGAAAAGTCACTTCTGGGGGGTGAAAGAGCTGGGGTCAAGGGAGTAGGGGGTCCCACACAGGAGGAGTATTCTGGGCTCAGAACAGGGCCAGGGGAAGGGGCACTGCCCAGCCAGCACCAGTTTCTAAAGACAATTTAATTAAGGTCTATTTTTAGGGTTCTTTTCATTCTCTCTACCTGCCCTGAGCTCTGGAGACAGTACAAACAATGGAGCTTTCAATTAGTCTCCAATATCTCTGCCAATCCCTGACTTACCTTAGAAACAAAAGCAAAACTGTTATCTGATCCAGTTACCTTGGGCACTCGAAACCTTGGGAAGATTTCTTCTAATATCTTCTTGGCTACCACAGGAGCTGTTCCCTGCTTGGTGGGGAAAGCCCAAACCCATCTAGAGATAGTATCTACAAATACTAGAGGGTATTTGTAACCATATTTTCCTGGCTTAGCTTCTGTAAAATCAGCCTCTCAATATACTCTAGGCTGTTCTCCCCTAGGTCTTTTGCCCTGTTTACTCTTGGCTGCATAAGCATTCACTTACTGCCATACCTCACACTTTTCTACTATCTCTGTGACCCAAAACCTGAGATCCATTATATATATCTTAGATCCCTTGACTGCTTGGATGAGTTTATCCCCTAAATGAGCCCATCTGTGCATTTGGCTTAGTAAGTCTTTTGCTTGTTTTCTTGGGAGTATAGTTCTCCCTTCTTGTGTGCACCACAGTCTTTTCTTCTCTAGGTAGTAGTTGGTAGGGTGGCAATCTGAGTCCTTTCTTCTTTTGTGTGTTTTAAGTGAGGCCATCCCTTAATCCAGTCCCATTCCCCAGTGGGTGTCTCTTGCAGGCCTATAACCCGGACAGGTTCCTGCATAGCCTCTTCTCGAGCCACTTGATCTGCCTGGTTATTGCCTTGGGCCAATGAGTCTCTTCCTTTCTGGTGTCCTGGGCAAAAATAGTACTCACAGCTGTCAGCTTTACCAGGGTATCCAAGAGATCCAAGATTTCCTCTGATGTGAGCAGTCCTCTCTCTTGGTATATAGCCCTGTGGATATGGGCTGTGGCAAAGGAATATGTGGTATTCGTGTAGATGTTAATTTTCTTGCTGGCCAAGTTCCAAGACCACTTTCTGCACCTACATGCCCGGAGGCGTAGAGATTCAGCCCAGATGACATTTGTGCCATCTACTACAGCAACACTCACTTGTCACTGACCAAAAATGAAGAAAACTGCTTCTATCTGTAAAGCAGGTAGTCTCAGCTCCCATCAGGGGTCAGTCAAAGAGGTCTTTCCTCCACCCATGGGTTCTCCTTTTGGGCCAGTTAGTTGCAGCCTGTTGGGCAGGAAGTGTATTTGGGCCCCCATCTTGGAGAATAAGTCTCACTCCAACAGAGGGTAGAGACAGTCTGGGATGACCATCAATGGGTGGGACACCCAGCCCATCCCTATTTGCACTGTTCTTCGGGTAGCCCATGAATACATTTTGGTGCCAGTGGCTTTTCTTACTGTAGCCAAGATTCTCTGTAAATTCCTTTCCTATTGCCTTTTTCTCACCTCCCTTTCATCTTCTTCCTTTCTCTTTCCCTGCTCTTTCTATTTCTGTCTCCCTGTTATGGTAGACTTCCTCAGCAACCTACACTAAATCCTTTAATGACTTATCCTGTGGTCCCTCTAGCCTCTGAAGCTTTTTCCTGATATCTACTAGCCTGGTCTATAAAGGCCATAGTGTGTACTGACAGAATGCCTCCATGAGCCGCTGTGGGCGACTCATCTGATCCCTGCCCCCTTGAGACCTGCCAATGGAGTCTGACAGTAGGCTTTTAGGTGTCCCTTACCTTCTGCCACACTAAAGTCCCAGTCAGATCTAGTTAGAAGAAAACCCGCTGTTGACCAGCCTGGTCAATTGATGGTGCCCCCATGTATGAGGGAACATTCTTTCCGGCTTCCTGCATTATCTTCTCTCACTCTTAATCATTCTTAATCATTCTTAGTACTCTTAGTCCTGAAGAGTACTAAAACAATCCCAAAGAGGTTAATCAGCCCCTCGGAGTTTTCTGAAAGGGGTTGTTAGGCCCTCAGTCAGTGGGAGAGCCACTGTGGTATCAGGGTAGGTGGCTCTTAACACTTCAGGTCCCAGGGCTGGAGAGATGGCTCAGTGGTTAAGAGCACTGACTTGCACTTCCAGAGGTCCTGAGTTCAAATCCCAGCAACCACATGGTGGCTCACAA